ATAATTACTCAAATTACCTTGTAGCTAAGAACTTGTGTCGTACAATTACTTATTATGAGCTTGACTAAGCATTTTTGCAAACGGTTCTATTGGTACACAGCTTGTTACCGAAATTGGAAAACACGGTTGATGACTCCACATACTTCTAATTTTCTTAACCGACATACTAGCATTGCATTAGGTACCCTCAAAAGCGATTTTAAGTATGCCTGACAGTAGAAAATCTTCCACCTTACGGCTCAGTACATAAGGATAAATGCAATTTGAGATGGGTTTGTCTTCTGATGATATACGAAACACACCATATCAAATTTAAAACTACCGAGCACAATAAATCATTCGTTTTCAAAATGCTCGTAGTTGGGTATAATGACCAATTACTAAAATTTTAATAAGCAGTCTAAACCAGCCTATGGAATTTCCCTTAAAAAGACAGTGTTGGGGTGGGATTAACCGCGATGTGTCAAAATCTTCTTATTTTCGTTTCTCATGACTGCGGAAATTAATTGACCACTATATAGGACAGTTACATTCGAACTTCTTCTGACATACGTGCCATACACCACATCTGTTATGTTCTATCTAGTTCGTTGTTTTTTCTTAAAAATACATGAAATAATTTGTGATCAAATATTACCATGCCTGCCTCTTGGCAGTGCACGGAATCGGACCAAGACATCGGTTAAGTAAACGTAGCGTGTAATCCCCCCCCCGACACAAATTCAGTAGAAAGAAATAATTAAACGGAATGCTGGTCGTATGGTGTACAGCATAACGTGTACTGAAATATGATGAACTACATAACGTATACTGCAGTATTGTGTTCAGCATGACTATACTGCAATATGGTGTACATCATACCGTATACTGCAAGATGATGTACAGCACAACGTGTACTGCTATATGGTGTACAGTATAAGTTATATAGCAGTATTGTTTACAGCATAACGTATACTGCAGTAATGTTTACAGCGTAAAGTATATTAAAATATGGTGTACAGCAAATTGGTTACTGCAATATGATGTATAACCTAACGTATACTGTAATATGTGTACAGTATAAAGAAAACTGTAATATGATGTACATCATAACGGATAATACAGTATTGTGTACAGCAAAACGTATACGGCAAGATGGTGTACATAATACAGTAATCTGCAATATGGTGTTCAACGTATACTGTAGCATGGTGAACAACATAATGTATACTGCAATATGGTGTACAGCACAACGTATATTGCAATGTTGTATACAGCGTGACATATACTACAAATTACAATTTTATTCAATTACTGTAACATCGCAACATAATACATTTTGAGAAAGATAAACTCCGAGTGCTTTATCTTGTTCCATAGTCTCGAATATTGATTTTTCTGATTTCGATTCAGACTCCTTGTTTCATTTGCAAACAGTTTATGTTCAGCGTTTTATATTTTAAAAATCTGCGTATGTATACATATGTTTTATTAGTGTTTACGACATCTAGAAACAAAATTGTCTATGTAGTGCTAATTAATGTTAAAGTTAGAAAAATATTTCTGTTTTCAATCGAACTTAGCCACAAACCGAACCTACCCTTACACCATCACTGTAGTCCCGTTACATATATCCACGTTTAGCCAAGTCCGCACATTTGCATTCGGATGACATTAAGTTCTACTGTGACTTGAACTTTGTCAAGGCACTTTACTCCAATTGTCTGGCCACTAAATAGCCTTCATGTGTTACTGTGCCACAAAAGATCAAATTAAAATGTATTTCTTTTGCAATGTGAAAATATCAGGAAAGAATGGAGCTTAACAAATGTACAGATGAAACTAAATGTTTTATCTACCAGAAAAAACATATATCAGTTACTAACAATGACTTGGTGTTAGCTTTTTATAATAATATAAATGTCTCCTTATAAATATAACGTGGATTTCCAGTGTCAGAGCTATCAAAATTGTAAAACGAGTTGAAACAAATAAATTACAAATCAAAAACTGTAATATAATGAGATGTTAGTGTCTGAAACTGAATTTTGTTTGGATTCATGCAGAAACAGAAAATTTACAAAAGCTGAAAGATAAAATCAAGCTTCATAACGCCAATGAATAGCACATTTATTTTTTTTTACCCAAATGAATGTTATGCATAGTTTGAAGCGAAATGTTTCAAAATTTGGTAGATTACCCGTAATTGGATTGTTTCGTCTGTTTGACGCGAAGATAACTCCTACTCTTAACTACGGGGCCGTATTTTTGGGGTTTTTACGATGCCGATGATATTGAAAAAGCTCATTTGTCATTTTTTAAAAATATTATTGGTACATCTAAGTCTAGTCCAAATGCATTCGTATATAACGAAATAGGAAGAATTAGTATGCAGTGTATAAGATATAAACGTATTTTGAAACTTTGGCTAAGAAGACAAATGCTGGAAGAAAGATATCTTTAATTGCTACAATTTATAGAAAGATGGCGGGGTGGGTGTGGTGGATTGTGATTTCTTACATTTTTACATTTTTTACATTTGGATTTGGCAATGGTTTGTTGCACTCGGGGCGTAAATGATGAAAATACGTTTCTTCGATTGTTCAGCGAGAGATGTGAATATTTTTTTATGCCAAAGCTGCACGATGAAATTAAGTCGATGGAAAGACTGCGTTTCTATAAGCCATTCTGAGTAGAATACACTTGTCAAACACACCTAAAATTACTGGGAGACAACAATTTTTGTTCTATGATCACTACGCTTGAAGTGGGAAACTTGCCAGTCAGAGGTAGTACGGGAAGATATGAAAGTATTTTCTATGAGGAAAGATTGTGTAAACTTTGTAACGCTAACATCTAATATGAAATCTATTTATTACTGCTTATACGGAGAGATACGAAGACAATATTTACCCAACTTTGTAAATAAACAAGTCAAACTCTAGACAAACTTAGGTTTTTTATACAAAATATGCTAGTAAAAATCTGATGACTAAATTAGTAATTTTTACCTGTAAAAGTCTTAAAAGATTTGAGAAACCGTTTAATCAATGACTCCTGCTACATAACATTCTAGATGAATATATTAAAAAACGTACTCCATGCAGGTTTTAGGTTCCCCTTAAATTTATTTGTGTGATTAATGTGTAATATATACTTGTATCTTATCCAATTAAAAAAATGCAATAATAATTACTTTCATGTTTATCGCTTCCAATGGATATGATATTCTTTTGTTACGGACAAAAACATCTTATTTTACCGGATGATGTATGGATATGATGATGATTAGATCTTGGTAAGTAACCAATCCCCATTTAGCTCCTCTACCGATATTTATTTAGTGGTCAGTATGGTCAGTCTAAACAGGGTTTGTGTGTACATCTGACCTTGAACTTAAATGTGCATTGGCACTAGATTTTTCTATACGTTTCTTATCTGCTTTTCTGCATTTTCAAATGGTTCAAAGAAAATTTCATGCATGTTCAAGTCTGTTGGTGTGAAAAAATAAACATTTTTAACATCAAAAGCCAGGGCTGTTCAAACCATATGAAGAATGCGATAGTAGAGATGATAATGATAAATAAATTGCTTGCTCTTTTGGGAATGGTGTGAAAAATTTACTCCAAGAACGTGACTTCTCATTTTGGTACATACCATGCATTTCAGGACATACTAGAAAAAGTTTAAAAATGCGAATAAAATGGGGAGTTGACCCTTCAGCAACTTCTTTTTGATCGTGAACTGGAATATTCACATTAAATTTTTTTTATCAAGCTATATCTGTACCGCGGACATACGTATAGACGAACAAGAAAAACAAATAAGTATTCTACACAAATATGAGACAGTTGGAAACAGTGAAAAGAAATACATAAATAAATTAAACAAAAATAAAATATATAAACAACTAAATAACTAAATAAGTAAATAAAAACTACTTACGGGTCAAAATAAAAAGTACAACTACTTCCAACAGGTGTGAACGTAAATAGAGAGTGCTCGTCACATCATTTATACCGTGATTTCCAACCGGCCTTAACCGGTCAGGTGTAACATCCAAAGTACAGTATACCCATATCAAATTATAAAGAGGTAGTCGCAGGAATGTGTGTGTGTGTGTGTGTGTGTGTGTGTGTGTGTGTTTGTGTGTGAGAGAGAGATTTTGATTTTTAACGTAGCTTTAAAAAAAATTCAGTCATATCGCTACGATATCTGCAGTGTGATAGTTTCTAGTGATGTCTAGCAATGGGGCATTGTGCCGCAGACATGTAGCATGATTACCGTAGGAAAGCAAATAATAGACTATAAGACAAAATACGCCTAGTTTCAGACATTCACTTCTACTTGTTTCAAAACCTCAATATAATGCTAAGTTTGTTTACGGGGCGTCAGTGGCCGAGTGGTTTAAAGCGCTGTCCGTTACGGACCACTGCCATGTCACCTATGTCTGCGTGTGTTCGAGTCCAGGATTCGGCGAATGTGGATATGTGAGAAAGCTTGCCAGTAGCTTCTCGTGGGTCGGTGGTTCTTTCCGGTGATTTACCGGTTTTTTCTTCCACCATTAATGCTGACCGCCATGAATAGCCTATCGTGTGCTGAAAAATGGCGTTGAGCCCAACAACTACAACAAAAAAAGTTTGTTTACGAATACAAAACAATTTAAAGTTCAAACTAGTATCCTATATGATGATGGTAATGATGCATTTCATCAACATTTCAACGCACAGGAGCATAATTCGGTGCAGAACTTATATATATATATATATATATATATATATATATATATATATATATATATATATATATATATGGTGATTTGGATTTTTGACGTGTCTTTAAAAATTTTTCAGTCATATCACTACCATGTCTGCAGTGTGGCGGTACTGGAGCATCATGCCGCAGACCTGTAGCATGATATCCCAATATTCTGACACCAGATCAACCAGTCTTAATACTAAACTCTTAATGCTGAGCGCCTTGCGAGGCGGCTGTTAGTGCAATGTTTTATGTCTTTGTTATAACTCGGCTGGGCTTTGAACTCGGGACCTACCGCATCTGAAACAGACGCTCAGACCTCTGGGCCACCGGATCGGTACCAGAACTGTTGTAAAGCATTGTAAGCATAGTTGCATTTTTATATTCGATCTCTGATTCCCTGTTAGGGACCGCAGGTGCAGTCCACCCCTATTAATTTTCGCAGCTGGTTAGCACATGGTGAAATTAAATGAATTTACACGCAGAAGTTTAGTTGGAGTAACAGTTGCTGAAAGACAGACAGACAGACAGACAGACGGAGTTTATCGCGAAGTAAACGTGCTTAAGAGTTGAGATAATAAGGTGACATGTAAACTGATGCAATAAAAATTTAAAAGCAGAAAACAAATTCATATGTATGTATGTATGTATGTATGTATGTATGTATGTATGTATGTATGTATGTATGTATGTATGTATGTATGTATGTATGTATGTATGTATGTATGTATGTATGTATGTATCAACGTATCAACGTATCAACGTATCAACGTTTCATTCTAACATACATACATACATACATACATACATACATACATACATACATACATGCATGCATGCATGCATGCATGCATGCATGCATGCATGCATGCATGCATACATACATACATACATACATACATACATACATACATACATACATACATACATACATACATACATACATACATAATAAAGCCCGTATAAAGCATAATTGTAGTGTTGTATTAATGGCCACACAAAATATACTTAAAGTGATGTATTAAAGCCCACATGAAGCATACTTATAGTGTTATACTACAGAATATGTATTTTATTATTGTTAAACTGATTGTATTCCATGTAAAATGTTTAATAAACATATTTTGGTGTTACTCGATTTCATTAATTTTATCAGACATACATACAATTGTTAACTTATAACAAACAGGGTATATAAACAACAACAACAACACACACACACACACATACACACACATATAGTTATCATTTTGACAAATCTGATTTGCAGTTGAGTACAAAATATACAAAGGACACATATAAAATTAAGTTCATCCTCTAGATGTACCGAATTTACATACGGCATATTTGACACCTTTTCTATAACATCGTATCGACCTGCTTCTGTCATGAGTCTATGTACAGACACATGCAATTTAGTCAAATCACGTCTTTTACCTACATTTTTAAAACTCCAATCAAATAACCTGCGTATTGTAAAACATGTTTAATTTTTTAAATAAAAAAATGTTTTTATTTCCGTATCAACGGACCCTATTTGTTTCAAATAAATCTTGTTTGCATAATATAAAAACTATTTGTAGTCACTGTGGTCGGATATCCCAAACATACTCATATAACATTTCTTTGAAACTGAACACCAATATTTCACATTACTCTTTCATTAGCACTGGTGAATCCATGAGTGTAAATACTTGAGTTCTTCATTCCTAAATGAAATATATCTGTTATTAACTCGCAATAAGTAAAGTTTATTTTCATTTTATGCTCAAACGTATTTTCTAGCAACAGATGGAAGTAAGAGATTTATAATGATATACAGAGAGATCATGTCACCTGTTTCCGTTGTTTATTGGCACAAAAATGTATGTAGTAACATAATTTCTTTCCTAATGGAAAATAAAAGAAATTGATGAGGGAAACCAATGTTGTGAGATTTGAAGCCAGTACTCTTGCGCGACAAGTGGTCTTACTTTACCGTTTGACCAAGCAAGTGTCAAAGTGGCTAATCAAATGTCTTGACCATGATGTTATCCACGTCTATTCTATTTATCGCAGTCAAAATATTTCTTATACTTCAATCCAGTGAATTATCAAAATTATTTCTTTTGGAAAATACATCAATTCTCACTCTGGCATAAAATAAAAGCTATTTATCAAAATAGAATCAATAGAACATTGGTCCCCAGTGCAGTGCGAGCGGGAGCAAAAGCGCTTGTCAAGGCCTTTTTAGGAGACCGTGTTTTAGGCTCCTAACTTTAGTAGTCAAAATTATACCTTTTACGGAAAGAGGGTATAACGAATGATGAAAACCGGAGTATGGAAAGTACATTAAGACTATAGACTTGCAAGGCAGGTCAACACTATGTATGCAAGAGCATATCAGAGTTTCTAAATAGTAGTTGTTGGTGACGACCTCGTTCTCATACACCCCGCAAATGTGCCCGTATGTACAAAGAGATTGTGGAACAATGTATTAGAAGAAAACGTATGAGAAAAGTATTGCAAAATCCTATACTTTAGTAAAATGAAATGAACATTTCACCACGTACCGTTAAAGATAAAACTAACACTAAGAACTATATCGCCCGCTCTGGTCAGAGAGTCCGCCTCATATGCGGGAGTTCGTGTGTTCGAAAACCGGCCGAGTCATGCCAAAGACATTTAAAAACGGCACTAACAGCTGCCTTGCTAGGCGCTCAGATTAAGAGGTAAGAGTTAGGAGTGGTCGGACTGGTGTCACGATAATGTGACTGGGTGATGCTCCAGTAGTAAACATCACTGTAAACTGCCACACTGCAGACATCGTAGCAATATGACTAAAAACTTTACCTTTATAAACCCAAATCACACACATAGAACTATAACAACTAAAATATAGTTCAATGAAAATGTAGGGGTCTTGATCTTAGGCTTTGAAAAATCAAAGGAAAGAAAAAATTAGTATTGAAGACGAATGGTAAAGGCATGAAATTCCATTACCTTTTCAGTTAAATGTTGGCATTATCTCCAAAATTTCTCATTTTCAAGGCCAATCGTTTATATGGCGAATTTAAGTTTATTTCGTTTGGTTACGTTAATTGCAGTTCGTCAGATTTTACCTTGCATAATATTATATTCGTGACATGTATTGCGGTTTTATGGCTCAAAATCGGACATTGAGATTTTCCGCTAAGCCACAAAATATGACATTCAAACTTGACAAACTGAACCCCACGCACAGATATTTGCCTCCCAGGGTTAGGTGTGTGGAACCCAGTTGTCTGTGTCAACCGAAATTAGGAGTAGACTATTCGTTTAATGCAAAAAAAAAGCAATTTCCAAGAAGCAGTGAAGTCATTTCCAAAAATGAATATTGAAGAAAAGTAAAATCATTATTAAATAAATGGGCAAGTATGCTGACATATATGGTGTGTTATTGAACATCAAAAACAGACAGTAGCAAGCCTTACTGAAACAGCAAATGATCGACCATTAACAACTTAAGAAGTTCTGTTCCAGTCAGAGGAACTGATCCATATACATGTCATTGATTCGTAGCTGACATCTGCATTACTGTACATTAACGAAAATTAATGAAAAAAGGACAGTGTCAAATTGTCAACATATTGCTAATTTCATATCAGTGGAATAACTTCACAGCTTGCATAAACGACGGTATGCTAAAATAAATTGTACCTATCTTTCTTCGGTAAGATATATTTGTGTATATACATGTATATCTATTTTTGGTGATACAAGAGTTCATTAATTTTATCAGACATATATACAATTGGTTATTTATACATAACAGGGTGGGCATATACATATAAACAGTAACATCACACAAACACACACATAGACACGGTTATCAGCTTGACAAAACTGTTTTGCAGTTGAGTATAAAATATACACATATAAAAATTAAGTTCATTCTTTATATCTACCTAATTTACATACGGTATATTTCATACTTTTTCTATTCCATCGTATCTATATGCCTCTTTTATGAGCCTATGTACAGACTCTGTTTGTATTTCCATATAAATCAGCGGACCATATCTGTTTCAAGCAAATTTTGTTTGAATATTATAATAACTATTTGTAGTCACTGCGGTCGGATATCCCAAACACACTCATATAACATTTGTTTGAAACTGAATGCCAATATTTCACATTGCTCTTGCATTAACATTGGTGAATCCATGAGTGTAAATACTCGAGTTTTTCACCCCTAGATGAAATATATCCATTAATCACTCCGAATTTGTAACTAGTAGTGATTGGTGACCGCCACGTTCTCCTATACCCTAAATGTGCCCGTGGGCACAAAGAGATTGTGGACTAAAGTATTAAAAGATGATACAAGTATTGCAAAATCCAATACTAAAGTAAAACGAACATTTCACCATGTACAATTAAAGATGAAACGAACACAGAGAACTATATCAACTAAAATCTAGTTAAACTGAATTGTAGAGGTCTTGACTGAAGGTTTGGAAAAATCAAATGAAAGATTAATTTAATGCGGGTGTTATTTTCCCTGTTAATCTTCAAAATCAGTAAAAACAAAAAAAAATTTCCTTATTGTTGAAGACGAATTGTAAAGGGCTAAAATTCCATTACCTGTTCAGTTAAATGTTGGCATTATCTCCAAAATTTCTCATTTTCAAGGTCAAACGGTCATGTGCCTAATTCGAGTTTTTTTTTTTTTTTGGATACGTTAGTTGCAGGTCAACAAAATGTACTATACATACTATTAAATTAGTAGCATGTCATACGGTTTTTTTTACTGGCTGCAAAATGCTTCAAAATCGGACATTGAGATTTTGTGCTAAGCCACAAAATCTCACATACAAACTTGATAAATAATTATTTTAATTGAAACATACGCACATGTATTTAACTCCCAGGTCTAGGTGTGTGGGAACCAGTTCCCTGCCTCCCAGGGCTAGGTGTGTGGGACCCAGTTCCCTGCCTCCCAGGTCTAGGTGTGTGGGACCCAGTTCGCTGCCTCCCAGGGCTAGGTGTGTGGGACCCAGTTCCCTGCCTCCCAGGGCTAGGTGTGTGAGACCCAGTTCCCTGCATCCCATGGCTAGGTGTGTGGGACCCAGTTCCCTGCCTCCCAGGGCTAGGTGTGTGGGACCCAGTTCCCTGCCTCCCAGGCCTAGGTGTGTGGGACCCAGTCCTTGCCTCCCAGGGCTAGGTGTGTGGGACCCAGTTCCCTGCCTCCCAGGGCTAGGTGTGGGGGACCAAGTTTGGAAGTAGACTATTCATTCAATGGAAAAAGAGCGATTCTCAAGAAGCAGTGAAGTCATTTTCGAAAAACAAAATATGAAAAAATTGAAATAATTATT